AGAAATATGTGCATGTGTATATAAAAGTTTACTTAGGAATTTCTGTTTAGCAAAGGGGGTAAAATTGATGCTGCCCGTGGTAATGGGAAATAATTATAGTGGAAATTAGTTTGGAGGCCAAGGTTATTGTCTAACGTATATTCTTTCTCACTTCTTTCCATTTTCAATGCTTTGACTCATTTCCTCAAGGAAGAAATGCAAAGCACCTTAATTCTTTTGTTGATGTATTTATTAGTCAATCCCAAATTCCATACTACTCTAATACTGCTTGGATGGAGTAAAAAAAATGTATCATCATGAATCTCATTTTGTACTGAATTTGAATTCACAGCAGGGCAAGATAAGGCAGCCTGCTCTGCATTTTGCATTAAAGAACAGTAAAACGAAATTATGGAACCACTTTGCAAAGAATACAATACAGGTAGTCCTTGATGCAATTGACGCAAATTGCAATTGAGCCCAAAAATTTCTCTTGTTAAGTGAATCATTCATTAAGTGAGTTTTGCCCCATTTTAGGACCTTTCTTGCCACAGTTGTTAAGTGAATCAGTGAGTTGTTAAATTAGTAACATGATTGTTAAGTGAACTGGCTTCCCCATTGCCTTTGCTGATCAGAAAGTCACAAAGATGATCACATAACCCTGTGACACTGCAACCAGGGGTGAAATGCTCCCGGTTCAGACTGGATCACCCGATCCGGTAGCAATGGCAGTGGGTGGTTTGGAGAATCGGTAGCAAAAATCCCTGAAACCCCCCCCCATGTCCAGCTGAGCTGCGCGATCATCAGAGGCTGTTTTTTTTTACTTTTAAAAGCATTTTTTCTACAACCTCTTTGGCTGAAAATATGCTTTTAAAAGTAAAAAAAAAAGCCTCTGATGATCGCTGAAGAGGTTGTAGGAAAAAAAAAAGCTTTTAAAAGCCTTTGGCGATCCCAGCTGAGTTGCCTGATAGTCAGAGTCTTCTAAAAGCATTTTTTTCTGCAACCTCTTAAGGTTGTAGAAAAAATGATTTTAAAAGTAAAAAAAAAAAAAGTTGGCCACGCCCACCCAGTCACATTAACCCCCCCACCACCACCAAGCCAGGGCCACAGAACCGGTAGTAACAAATTTTAGATTTCATCCCTTACTGCAACCATCATAAATATGAGCTAGTTGCCAAGCGTTTGAATTTTGATCATGTGACCACGGGGATGCTGCAACAGTTGTAAGTGTGAAAAATGGTCATAAGTCACTTTTTGCAGTGCCGCTGTAACTTTGAACAGTCACTGAACAAACTCTTGTAAGTCAAGGGCTACTGTACTTCTAGGAATATTTAAATTGTTCAGAATGTTTTAGTCTTCCAGTCTATAGAATTCAGGTCTTCTTCCATACATTCAAAGGAAGTTGGCGTTAAGAGTAGGGGGAAATATCACATTTCTACTTCTTTTTATTTTTCAGGAAGCATTTCAGGGTTTAATTAATTATCCTTATTATTATATTACCTTGATAAGAATGAAATAAACCCATATTCACAATGGGCAAAAATAACAGGAGCAGCAATGGAAAGATTTATATGCTTGGATTGAATCTAGTGCAGGGGTGGGCAATTGTGGCTCTTTTACAACCTGTGGACTTCAACTCCCAGAATTCCTGAGATAGCCAAGCTGTCTCAGGAATTCTGGGAGTTGAAGTCCACAGGTTGTAAAAGAGCCACAATTGCCCACCCCTGATCTAGTGTACTATAGCCAATCCTCTGGTTTATGCAGTACACTTTTTTTCAGTAGCCAATAGCCATAGGACATAGGAGGCCTGCCACTGGAACAAATGGGGATGAAATTTCACTGTATATTTCCCAATTTTGGAGTAGTTTAGAGGAATCTGTAATGTGTTAATGCTCATTAAACTATCAGAGGTTTCATGCACCTTTTTAAAAATCTGCTTTCCCACTGAACATTGGCAGAAAACTATGAATTTAAGTCACTTAAGCTTAAGGGTCCCAGAAGAATCAATCTAGCACAGTCACTGTTTTATTTCCTTGGATATGCTCCATCACCTTAGATGTTCTTTTTTGCTAATGGCAGAATACTGTTTCAGAATTAAAAAATGATAAGAGAAATACCTGCCTGAATAAAGACGCCTAGCTATTCTTCAATAAATATAAATTTGTTTCTTAACAATGCGATAGAGCAAAAATTAGAATAGATGTTCACAGTTCTTCTTACATACTGAACAGACCAACATTTCAAAGTTGTGATATTGTGTCTATTTGTAACAAACTGGATGAGACAAAATGGATGGCAACTGCACTCTCTTCCTTTGTTTTACTTTTAATTAATTATGCTAAAGGCAAACCCACATAAGAGTAACCGATTCTTCTGTTCAGTTCTCTAGAAATGAAATGAAAATGACTTCATTTCCTGGAGGAATTTGAGGGAATAATTTTCACAACTGGGAAGAACAATGAGTCATCAATAGTAACTTCGTAATTGCCTTGGTAGTGACTTAATTTTAAATAAAATGAAAGATAAAACACCCATTGACCATCTCATTTCACAGTAGATACTTTCCACAACCGAACAAACTTTATTTTCCATTCCATTTTTAAACTGAGACAGCAAGAGTGATTTCACAAATTAATTAATTAATGTCCCAAAGGTGCTTTTTCAAAAGGCAACCGGACTTTGTTTTTTACTTTGTTTGTTTGTTTATTTGTTTATTTAATTTGTATACTGCCCTACTCCCGAAGGACTCAGGGCGGTGAACAGCCATAAAATAAAACATAAATACAAAATTTAAAATAGAGATAAAACAAATTAAATAAATTTGGCTGAACCATATTTAAAACCCCAATAATTTAAAACCAAATTTAAAGTTCCCATTTAAAAGAGGAGAAGTTTAGGTCAGGCCGGCTTGCTGGAATAGGAACGTCTTAAGCGTGCGACGGAAGGTACGCAGATCCGGAATCCTCCGTATCGCGGGGGGGAGCTCATTCCAGATAGTAGGTGCCCCCACAGAGAAGGCTCTCCCCCTGGGGGCCACCAGTGGACATTGTTTGGCCGACGGCACCCGGAGGAGCCCCTCTCTATGGGAGCGTACTGGTTGGTGGGAGGCTATTGGTGGTAGCAGGCGGTCCCGTAGATAACCAGGTCCTAAGCCATGGAGCGCTCTAAAGATGATGACCAAAACCTTGAAGCACACTCGGAAGACCACCGGGAGCCAGTGCAGCTCGCGCAGGAGAGGCGTTACATGGGAGCGCCACGTCGCTCCCATCACCACCTGCGCGGCTGCACTCTGCGCCAGTTGGAGCCTCCGAGTGCTCCTCAAGGGGAGCCCCATGTAGAGAGCGTTACAATAGTCCAGACGGGAGGTGACGAGGGCATGAGTGACCGTGCGTAACGAGTCCCGATCCAGAAAGGGACGCAACTGGCGGATCAGGCGAACCTGATGAAAAATCCTCCCGGTCACGGCCGTCAAGTGCTCTTCTAAAGACAGCTGTGAATCCAGGAGGACACCCAAGTTGCGAGCCCTCTCCGTGGGGGCCAATGCTTCGCCCCCAATAGTCAGCGATGGCACCAGCTGACTATATCGGGACGTCGGAAACCACAGCCACTCGGTCTTGAATGGGTTGAGTCTGAGCCTGTTTCTCCCCATCCAGATCCGTACGGCCTCCAGGCACTGGGACATCACTTCAAGGGCATCGTTGGGGTGGTCTGGGGTGGAGATGTACAGCTGGGTGTCGTCAGCATACTGATGGTACTCCACCCCGAAACCACGGATGATCTCGCCCAATGGCTTCACATAAATGTTGAACAAAAGGGGCGAGAGGACTGATCCTTGTGGCACCCCACATATAAGGGGCCTCTGGGTCGACCTCTGCCCCCCTGTCAACACAGACTGCGACCGGTCGGAGAGAAAGGAGGAGAACCACCGTAATACAGTGCCTCCCACCCCCAACCCTTCCAACTGGTGCAGCATGATACCATGGTCGATGGTATCAAAAGCCGCTGAGAGATCTAATAGGACCAGGATAGAGGAACAACCTCTGTCCCGAGCCCTCCAGAGATCATCCACCAACGCGACCAATGCCGTTTCCGTGCTGTACCCAGGCCTGAAGCCCGACTGGAACGGATCTAGATACGTCGTTTCATCCAGGTACCGGGGAAACTGTCGTGCCACCACACTCTCAACAACCTTCGCAACAAAGCGAAGGTTGGAGACTGGACGATAATTAGCCAATATTGCCGGGTCCAGGGAAGGCTTCTTGAGGAGAGGTCTCACCACCGCCTCTTTCAAGGCGGCGGGAAAGACACCCTCACTCAATGAAGATGTTTTGCTTTTCATCCAAGAAGTTTCTTCACTGCTTCTTCACTGAAGAAGCTTCTTTGGTGAGAAGTGAAATATCTTCAAGGAAAAACAAAGTCCAGTTGCCTTTTGAAAAAGCAACTCTGGGACAACCATGACCTGGATGACTGAGAATATCTATAGACAAATTAATAGAGATAGTTTAAGGAAGTATAATTTTGAAGCAGGATCTGATTTTTTTTCTTTATGATGCTGTTGATATTGGATTTCAGTATCCCACTATTTAGCCCAAGTCAATGCTGTTGGGTTCTCAAATTCCATATCTCATTTCACTCGCTCAGATATAGATAAGAGAGAACCCCTAATTTCATACTATATTTGACTACTGAATATGTTTTTGGTAAGCTTTGGGTGAACCATTAATTGTATTCTCTGCTTGTCCATAAATAATAGCAATAATAATTTCTTCTACTGATTCAATTTTAGTTTGAAGATTTCTCCTCCTTCTCCTGATTAATACTCAGTTTTTTATCCCAATTATCTCAGTCCAACTTTTGTTTGGGCAAACTCCAGGTCACAGTGGAGGACAGGGGAGCCTGGCTTGCTGCAGTCCATGGGGTTGTGAAGAGCCAGACACAATTTAGCGAATGAACAAGAACTTTTGTTTTCTTCTGCAACTCAAATTAAATTGCTTTCTGTTCTTCATGCAGATTAATAAAATGCTTCTGCCTCAAAGAAGGGAAAGGAAAGGAAAACCACTGGAATGTTTTTCAGACCAGACTCTGCTTTCAACAGAGGTATGAGCTGCTAAAGGAGCAAAATAGTTGTGGGCGTTGCTGGCTTAGGTAGTTAGGAAGTTTCTATCATTCATAGAAGCAATGCTTCATCTTTGAGGTGTGAGAAGCCCTAAGGCAGTGAGCAAATGTCTTCCGGAGTTTTAAATGACACCCTCAATTATTTTGAATATAGATCCTTTTCCTCACTTCCTGTCCAGCGGAAATAGGCTGTTTTGGGAATACCTCATACCCAGGTTATTAATACATGTTCACAAAGTCTTTAGGTCTTGCTCTTTCTTAACTTGTGCTTCTTACCCTAGCATTTTAGAAATTATCTAGAACATAAAGAAGAAAGGAGACTAAGAAAAACAAAAACAACAGGACTTGCCAAGAAAATATAAGTTAGACAATTATACCACAGACAAGAAGAACACAGAATAGGGACTAACTCAAAGCAGAGGAAAGAGCACCTCTCAAAAACCTATAGAAAGACCAAACCATGATCATCTTACTAGAAGACACAAATTTAACTACAGTTATTATGGACAAATCACAATATATACAAAAGGCAAAGAAGTAGTGGAAGACAAAAAAAAAATCTACATCCCAGTAAACACTAACCCAATACAGATGTTTGGCAACCTGATCAAAAGAACTCTTAATGACCTAACCAAGAAAGGTTAAATCAGAAAAGAAGAACAGTGGCAGATGACCAATGGACCCATCCTCCCATGCTTCTATGGATGCCCCAAAATATACAAGTGCAACATACCGCTTCATCCAACTGTATTAGTACCAGGATTCCCAAAATACAACATAGCTAAAGAATTTATAAAAAAGCTTTGACATTTCTTATTGGGGAGTAAATATTCTATTAACTTTCCACTAGAGCAGGGGTGTCAAACTCAAGGCCGTGGGCTGGATTTGGCTTAGATATGACCCACAGGCCCAGCCTGGAAATAGCAAAGGACTGGGCTGCAGTGCCTCTGCTAGCAAAAATGGGGTGCGGCCTGGATGGCCTCCGACAGCACCCTGCCGGCCAAATGGTTTTGGTCGGCAGGGTGCTGCAGGAGGCATCTGTCCTATCTAGCCCTCTCCCTGATCGACCTGCGATGACAACTACAGTGCTGATCTGGCCCTCAAAGAAATCCAGTTTGACACCCCTGCACTAGAGTGCTCCAGAAAACCGAAGACTTAATAATAAAAGAAGAGATTATGGTTTCATCTGATGTTATAGCAGTCTTTTCAGACTCAGAACTAACAAAGAACCCATAGCAGTTGTGTTACATAATACACCTGACCTAACTACACAACACATTTGATCTAATCAAATACATTAAGATCAAAATAGATCAACCTCTGCCTTACTATCTATTTTCAGTTTGATGGACAAATATACCAACCAATCAGGGCATCACTATTCTCAAGACTCATAGCAGAGACTGTAATGCAGCATCTAGAACTCCCAAACATACAACCAAAAGTATAGACTGACATATAGATAACATCTTTGTTATAATCAAAAAAGGAGCAACTAGAGAAGACACATGAAATAATCAACATCTTCAGAGGAATAAAATTCCTAAGGAAAGAAGGAAACAACAATGGATTACCCTTTCTGGATATCCTCAGTAGCAGAGGAAATGGTGGCAAATAGAAACACAAGTTTATGACAAACCACCCATACTAGCCAAATGCTTCATTACCAAAGTAACATCCCAGCTTCCCATAAGCGTAGCTGTGTAAGAACAATGATCACAAATGCACTGTAGCAACCCAGAATACTAGAAAATGGAAATAGACTGCCTATACAATATCTTCCAATAAAAGTGCCCAACTACTCAACCCACTAGAGAACAACCAATGCAACCTATGAAAAGGGAAACATTACCATATATCAAATATACATTGACTATTACATCAACATGGCATCACCACAGCACACAAACCAACAAAAGCCCTCCAAAATAAAAAATGACTAGTAGCCTAAGAAGTAAAAACATGATCCATCTAAACATACAATGTAAAGACTGTAACATCCTTTATTGATTTATTTAATTTATTTGTTAAATTTGTTTGCTGCCCATCTCATTGTGAGGAGGCTCTGGCCAGCTTACAACATTAAAAGCAATAAAAAGGTGTGGTATGTATATGTATGTATGTATGTATGTATGTATGTATGTATGTATGTAGGTAGGTAGGTAGGTAGGTAGGTAGGTAGTAGAAGTAGAAGTAGAGATAGAGGTAGAGGTAGATAGATAGAAATAGAGATAGAGATATAATAAAAATTATGATTAAAAGATGGGAGGGGGAGCAGAATGCACGGCGGGGCGACGGGGGATCTTCTATTGGTTCATCAACCACCTCCAGTGTGATATTCTCCCATTGGAGCTCTATTATGGAGTACAAAGCAGCAGAATAGTAGCAGAGCACATCCATAAACATCAACTGGCATTAGGAAGACATTACGAAAACTCCTTAATTTCGCAACACCTGGACAGACTTAAACATAGTTTCAACTGGGAACTGTGAGCATCATAGACCAGGCTAAATCCAAAAACACTAATTCCTGGAAGCACAGCACTCAGACAAATTGGTCATTTACAGGCACATAGAGATGAACCACATTTACACGTTGTTCAAAAGAATAAAGCAGCTCAAAAGGAACAAAAAGATCTGAACATCTCCCAGCCTGCAATCAACATCCAGGTAAGCAAGGGTTAATATCAGGAGCAACACAGACAAGCAATCAAGTAGTAAGCAAACACCTTAAAGGAACTACCAACTCAGACAAACAATCAAGTATTAAAAACAGCCTTAATCAAGGAACTACCAAGGAGAAACAACACCCCCACCCCAGTGACAGGACAAGCTACTGTGTATAAACATAGAGGAAATACTACCTGTTTCTAACATTGAAGATGTTACCTAGCGGAGTAATGAAACATCGGCAAGAAAATAACCAAGTTCAGAGAGCATCAAGGATTCCACTGTCTGGGGAATCATCTAAAAATGCAAAGAGGGTAGCAAAGTAGCATTGCTTCTTTTTTTATTTTGTTCTTGTAACAGCTTCTTCCTCTCTCTGCCCTGATTATATCCCTCTGCTGCCTTCCCCAATGATATATCCACTGACTCACTTCCTAAAACAGGAATAGACATCTTTTACATTCATACAACCCCCAGGCTCTGTTTTGTGGCTTCAGAGTATTTAGGATTGGATTCAGAAATTCAATGGTCAGTCTCTTTGTTGCTGTTTGCCATTCATTTTCGTTCCGTTGAATGTTTTCTCTGTAAGCCACCCGGAGTCCTTCGGGAGAAGGGCGGCATATAAATTAATTAATTAATTAATTAATTAATTAATTAAATAAACCTCCTTCACAATTTAGAACTTGAGATACCAAGGGAAAAAATGTGACTTTGAGAATGAAAATGGCTGCCCTCCCCTGAATGATGAGGTCCATGATTGGGGAAGGGGTTCTCTTTTAAAAGAGGTATAATTCATGCATCCCATCTCATCATAATGTGCATGTATGCAATGCATGTTATCCTGGTTAGTCTCATAAGTAATCCTTAAACGGTGGTGTTTAAGAAGGAACGCTGCATTTCTAAACTATACAAGCCATGGCAATTCCTCATCCACAGAATTTGTGAGGTTAAGAAGGTTCGAGACAATGTGGAGCTTCATTTCTAGCTCTCCTGTATTTAAACATCTCTTCTTTTGTTGTTTAATTAACCAGGAAAAGATGGAACAAGACCTTGTGGTTGGATTCACCTGAAATTCTCTTTACCCAAGGCTGATAGCATCTGAAATCCTACAGTGCAACATTAACACGTCATTTCTTAAGTCTATGTCCCATGAATTCATTAGTGCTTACTCCACAAGAATTGGGATTAGGACTGTACCCCAATTTAATCCTACTCAGACTTTTGCAGATAAGGAACTGGTACGCAGGATGAGGTTGTCTCTTGTCAGCACAGGAGGATTAATTTAGCTTTCTGCCTCTCCCATGTTATTTATACCAATGTATAGTCACTACAGAAGAGAGAATAAAGCTGAGATGAAAAAGTATTCAAAGAATTAAATACAGCATTGTGTTGCCCATTACCCTAGGATTAAACTATTTTGGTTATTATAATTTTGCTGGGAATATACATGCATAGACTTGAGCCCATTCCTTTTGGAAAAAAAAATTCCACGAGGCTGAAATTCAATGCAAGATTACTACTAGTTAATCCTATTAAAATGAGCATCTGCATTTTAGGTAGCATTGCATACAATAGGCAGGATCTCACTAGCTATGATAAACAGAAGTGTTATTGGGGCTTTCTAAAACAAACGTGGCATGTGGTAAATTAAAGTAAATATAGATTTCTTGGCTTTGAAATTAACTTGGTGTCTCATCTAAGTATTTACCCAACCTTGGCCTGCTTAGCTTTTTGAGATCAGCCAAAGTTGGGCTGCTAGTTAAATAGCAATGGAGGATCAGATTGGGTAAATAGATGGGATACCATTAGGAAATTTTAGGACTATAGGCTAATCTGGGAAGTAAAAAAAAAATAACTTGAAAAGAAGACAGTTGCAAATAATTTGTATCTCATTGCCAAGAAAACCAAAGCTCTAATTGAACTTGATTCAAGGGAGAGTTTAACAACTGATGTAATTGCCAATGCAATGGTAGGAAATTTGGATGACTCTCTAAGACAGTCTGAGGTTTTCTACTGGCTGTCAAGTAACAATTTCACCTCATATTAATCTGTCTCCTTTGACTTACAACTGGGGGAAGAGATGTGACAGCTGATCAAAGTAGGAGAATGCTCTAATCGGAAAACAAATGACACTTTTTAAGAGGTTACTCTTGGGATTTCTGAGTCTAGAGGAGAGATAAAGGAGTCACTCAGAGATGGGCTGCTCCAGTTCCGACTGGTTCAGGCAAACCAGTAGTTCCAACCAGCCGCTGGGCCCACCCTGGCGCTATCCCATCCTACATAATTGCCATTTTTTCGATGCTGCGCGCATGCGTGTGCACACTCACATTTTCAGTTCTGGGCGAACCGGTTGTTACTGCATGTGACACCCACCTCTGGTCACTGCTAGTGTTAATTAAACAAAAGGACTGCCAAGGCCAGAGATTAAGAATTGATGAGATAACCCCCATCTCTTGAAAGAATGATCTTCAGATTACAGTAATGAGATTGATAGACTTCTGGGCATTGGTGTTTCATTTTCAGGCATATCTCCACAGCCAAAATCTACAGGAAGTTAAAACATTTCCTTTTCAACAAAATCTAAAATAAAGCAATATTGTACATTTTTAACACAATAACCATGCGAAATGGGTACTGGGATGATGACAATTCATCAATCCCTCTCTGTGCATATTTTATTCCAGGATATTTTTAAAACACACCAGGGTGTAATTTGTATTTCTGAAAATAATATTCAAGTTTGCATGAAATTATCTTTTGACCTTTATTATATACAATGCTGTTTTTCTATGAATTAGGGGGAGAAAATGGTACATACTGGGAACGTTGCTGGCAAAAATGCATGTGTCATGGAAACATGTTTACATCATTTTATAGCTAGAAAGATGCCTATGGATTTTTAAGTTGTTCAAAGTGCTGAGGAAATCAGATGGGACTTGAACAAATGCTAATCATACGGTGAGTAAATCAGACTGACTCTTCCATCCTTAGGCAGTTTGACTGGTAACTACATAAACAGGTTAGGATGCAAACAAGATGATGTGTAACATTGATACATTTCCTGGCCAGTAATTTGTTTTCTCTTTTTCACCTTTTCTGCATCCAATACATTCTTTTTATGGAATGAATCCTTGACTCATCCCTGGGAGTAGAGTCTTCATAAAGATGGATATTCAGATGCACAACTTCATCTGTGTTAGGAAATCTGTACAGAGGTTCCTTGTATACAGTAGCTACTCCCTTCATCTCAAGAATAGAAGCTTTAGAGAATGTACCAACCAATGTTGATCGATAAAAAAGTTAACCATGCCCCCAGTTTCCTGCTGAACAGATGTCTTATGGGGGCCCCCACTTTGGTTGGGAAGACATGTAAACCATACAAGACACTGACATGCTGGAACATATCCAAAAGTCACATCTTGTTTTATATGAAATAAAGAATTAGTTTAGATTAAGTTTTTCCACCCTCAACATGAAAAAGAAGAATCTACTCAAAATATAACATGTGAGAAGTGGCAGCTTAATATTAGAAAGGAGGTGAAAAGTGTAATTTGGAAGTGAGTCTACTGCGCAGAACCAGCACCTGCTTTTTCAAAGTCCCACATTGCACAATCCAGATTAGGATTGTTCAGAATTAATCCCATTGAATTTACTCCACGCTAAGTGTTTATAAGATGTTATCTCTTCTAAATAGTTGCCAGGAACACTTTTTTCTCTAGAACAAAATGAACTCAGTGACAAGAATAAATGTGGATCAGCCTTCCTTTTCAGAGGCAAAGCAAAGCAGTGCAAGCTCCTTTCAACTCAAAGCTCCCAAAAACATTTTCTCATTTCAACTGCACCTATCACAGTACTTTTACAAGACCTTCTTTTTTAAAATCCCTGTTTAGAAGTGCTTAGTAGTGCTAATCAGACACCCAGAGCTGCTATAAAGGAAAGAAGTAAAATGTTTTCTGTAAACTTATCAGTTATTAAAGCAACCGTCCCCGACCCAAACAAAAATTAAGTCAAAACGAACCTCTCGAGACTCAAAGAAGCCCATGCATTCTAGTTGGAATCGGTGCCTTCAGTCTCCAGCTGTGCAGTTGGGAAAACTGAAAGGCTCATTGCTCATTTGAGAAGAAAAAACAATTTGCCCAGTCCACGCCCAAACCGGAGGAATGCATGAAAGGTCAAATATTACTTGAATGCCTCCAGGAGGTAAGCTCCCTTATTAACCTCAGAGGGAGCTGGCATTTGGAACTGGCATTCAGAGCTACCTGGATGAGTTTCACAATTTCTTTCTCTAAAAATGCTGCTTTGTTTCGGCAAAAGCCCTGTGCTTAGAATCACAGCTTTGCAATAGGTAGAACTTCATCTGCTGAAGCTCTGTGTAGAGAGTTAAGTGGTTAAGAAGTGAGGATGGTCTGTATTGTAGGCTGTGCTTGGAATGCAGAGAAAAAGCTTTTAGTGTGCATACATATGCACACCCAAGCACAAGAACACATTACGATCTTGTGACCCTTTTTGTAAGTGCAAGGTATTTTGAAGGGATTAATCATAATAAATAATAGGTATTATGAACGTTTCCTAAATTTTCCTTCCCTGTCCATAATTTTTGCTTATGGTCATATAAACAATAAATACAGTTTATTGAAAACTAGATTCTGGACTGTTGTCTTGTATCTCTTTGGAAGACAGTTGATTTTATCCATTCATTTACCCATAAGATAGTAGCAACTTCCCCAAATAATTCTGAGGGAGGAGAGGAGGAGGGCCAATGATTCGGTGTAGCAATTTTCTCCATTATCTTCTACAAAGCATCTTGTTGTTACTCTATCTATTCCCAGAGGATTCAAAAAGCCAGCAATCTCAGATTCCACAGACATTTGCAACATTTAACTGAAGAGTTAGCCAGTCTCAGGAATCCCTTTCTTCATAGTTTTGGATCTTGGAATGCTGCAGATACTGTTTATCTTTTCTGTAACTTATCTTCAGGAATCACATTCTGTTTGAGGTCTGCAAATGTCTCATAAATAGACCTTCTGTACCACAAGTTTGCCTGTTCATTTGGTTATCCCTGCTCTCTTCTCAAATATGTGATTAGCTTATCTTCATTATCCTGTTGTGTTTGGCAAAGCTCAGATATCACTATCTCTCACCATCAACAGCTTATCAATGTTTGTACTTATTTATTATTATTATTCTTGTCAGGCATCCCAAGGCTGGTGTCATCTTGCTTTCAAATGCCTTTTTATCAGAGAGAATGACCATTGTATTATTTAGAGGACATTATCTCTTAAAGTTGATAAATGGCAATAAAGAGCCAGAGTCTCCAATTTCAGTATATCAGAAGGAATTATTTATATTATAATGACAAGATATAGGGAAATAGAAATAGCTATTGTAGTGGAATATGGTGTCGATTCCAAGAAGGGAGGGGCTGAATTCCAGAGGACCAAGACTGATCTCTTGATTGTGAGAAAGAGAATTAAGAGCCTTCCTCCCCAGAGATTCTCAGAGTATATCTTGAATGCTGCAAGCAATTGCTATAGTTTTGCAAGATAGTTCAAGAACAACAAAGGAAACTGCTCTGAAGTAACTTTATGTCTTTCTTCGTTTTGGGGTTCTGACATTATTTCCATAAATATAAATAGATGTATTAGATATTTTCATAACTCTAATAGCCAAAATATACACAAACAAAAATATATGCCTTGAAACTAAAGGCAACGTCTATATAATCAAGCTAAAAAGGAAACAAAATGACCAGCACACATCCTCTCCACCAGCCCACACCCAGAGAAGCAGGGATTAACACCAGACAAACAATCAAGCAGAGAACATTACCCTAATTAAGGAACTACTAAGGAGAAAACCACACACCCCACCAACATTGGCAGGGCAAGCCACTGTAAACAAGGAGCAAACCCCACATTCACTCACACTGATAATGTTACCTACTTGGGTAATAAAGCACTGGCAAGCAAACAACAAATCTTTGAGAGGACCAAGAACTTCACAGTTCAACTCTGAGCTACAGAGTTCTATTAGGATCTTTATATTGAATCATTTGGCATGATTAATCTTGGAAATGATGTAAGTTACTGTTTGCATTTAAGTAGTTTGCATCAAGATTAGCACAGCATAAAACTACAAGCTGCAGTTGAAAAACAACAGGGAAATAGTTGAAAATTATCAGAGAGATAACTGGTTAATATATGAAGGATATAAAAACAGGCAAACAATGCGAGCATAAGCAAGGATATATACACTAAATATGCAAATGAAAAGTCCTGTGTCCTACAGATGGCATGTATCCCTATCTTATTTTAATTGCTTGGAATATAGGAGGAAGAATTATTTTAAAAGTTGGGGGAAGTTAAGGTGCAATCTAATGTATACAGTTCACCCCTTAAACCCTACAATCTTCCCAATTGGGATAATTATATATTGCCTCTTAATCCATCCATCTCAAAAAACAAAACAAAACAAAAAAAGGACTTGGAGCTTGCAAATTCATGTTCTGACATCATTTCTTACATTCTCAACAGCCTCTAGCTGTAAGAAAATGTTATGCCTTTATGCCGACTCTACAAGGAGCCTTAGAATATTATTTGTTTTCAGTAATGAGCTAACTTTCATTCTCTATTACTTGATTTGTTAATATATCCTATATTAAGTATAAGTCTATTTACTATTTACCCTAAGCAATACTCATTTATGGATTGGGAGTGATGACTAATTAACAGGATTCATTTCCACTTTAAAGGACAAATGTTATTTTTAGGCAATGGTTGAGGGAACTGTTCTGAAACAACTGAGGGACAGAACATCTGGCTAACCTATTGCAGATGACCCAAATTCTACTAGTGTATCCAGATCTGCCTTCTGTGGCAACATACAGAAGCAACATTTGTGTAGCAACATTTAACCAGGCAATCACCACTCAATGTGGAGTTCCACTCAGTGGTAACTACCATATCTATCTTCCTTCTGTCCTTAATGGGCAATCTACTTGCTACTTGTATCCTCCAATCCTTCTTCCTCAACTCCTGGAAATAATCCCTTCAATCTCCACAGGTTCCACTTTTTAAGCAAAAGAATGCTCCAGAATTGTCCTGGAACTTACATTTTGGAAAATAGAAAAGATCAAATAGACCAATAAAGCAATGAAAGTCTGAGGTCAATTGAGTTTGACCCTTGCTAAGAATATGAAGTGGTTTGCCATTGTTCCCTTACAGGATTTATTTTTCTCCAGCTTCTCACTTTAATTGACTCTTTGGGGTTTTCTGCTAATTTCTGAACAAATCTGAATATAGATCACATTAGTCAAGTCTGGTTAAGTGCAGCTAACAGATCTGACAAATACTTCAGGCCATACTGGATTGGCTTGTTTCAAAGATCTTTTCTGTCTCTTTCCATTCTTTCATATCTTGCTGAGTAACAAATATGCAGGAAAAAAGGAATTAGTCCTTAATTTTTGTTCCTCCCTGACTCGGTAGTGGTTTTAAAGACTCATGAGACAGAGGAGCAAAGAAACTACCTTATTTTGGAAGAGACTTTGTGTCTTAAAGACAGGCTTAATGCTAGTGATTTACTTCTCCACATTTTACTGCTTGGTTTGATATAGATCTCAACACTCTTTAATCTTCATTAACATTGCTTGCTGGTTTTAAGAATTAAATCTCAGTGCTGATGCAGAAGAATGAGTAACCCTTGGGTTTGTTAATGTCACTGTACATAGTCAAGTAAACTTTATATGTAGCTCCAAAAAAGTGAGCTGGTTCTGCAAGACTTAGAGAATATGTACGTGCAAAATAGTATGTATAAAATACTATTTTGCTGTTTTCAGTGGTATTCAGTGGCCTGTTAAAGTTTTGTAGAGTTGGAAGGATAAACAAGCAGTAAAAATTCAGAATTCAGAACAATCTTAGTCATTTGTAATATTGGCCTTTTTAAATAAAATTCCAAATTAGAAACATAATAGTTGGTACCATTGACAAATGGCTCTTTCAGCCAGAAGATACTAATGCTTTAGCTGATCATTGTCCCTGAACATAGGGAGGGAGCCTGGAGATTATAGGCATTAGCTATAAACCATCATGAAAAAATAATGATATATATTCTGTGACATCACAATGCAAACTCCAGACATTCATTTATTGCATGCAAAAACCTACATCATTGTAACACTATAATACATGTTGTCATTTGTCCCCTCCCTTTTTTACAAGTGCACATTGTTGGCATTTGTGTAAGCCACACATATATCACATAAGATTTTTTCTATTAGCCTGCTCTGAGTTAAGTAATTGTTTATTTGGGAAACTGAATCTGGGATCCTCTTTCCAAATAGATGATTAATGCTTTCAAAACTAGCCATGCCTATCTTTCTTTAGACTATAATCCATGAACCCAAGCAAAGGCATGGGAATGACCCACATGGTCCCATCTCATCACTGCAGCTTTTCAAGACCACCAATCCTATTCTTATGCAATTCCTAAAATGAATTAGGTAATTTTAGTATATAATGTGCTGATTCAGTGACCTAAGAACTAAGCAGATGGGTGATATAATGATTTAGTACATTTATCCAAAGAAATAAGCACATGATATGCTGATAGGTTATATTGACCAGTACTTTTTATTAGGACACAAGAAATTAATTTTATAAACTCAGGAGATTGCCTTGTAAATTATCTGATTTTATATAGCTTGTACAAAATTTCTTGATTAAGTTGAAAAATAGCACATATAGTTATGAAAAATATAGCACCATATACAATAACTTTTCAAGTTTTCAAATGAATAAAAACCATTCCTTGCAATACAAGATTTACTTAGGTGAGCTAAAGATAACACACACCAAACCTTCTTAGTAGTAGTATCTATTCTCTAGAATAGAGAAGGTTAAACGTCTTGCAGCCAATCGCCATGACCGCATAGCAGTGATAGGACATCAAAGTATATATTTGCAATCACTGTCCTATAGGGCATATCAGACACTAATAAACCTGTTCATTTTGTTGCAGATTTCTGACATTTACAATACTTGGATTTTTTCCCTGCAGAAAATCATAAAATTATGCACTCATTATTTATCAGTTTGCAGATAAATTTTTGTGCTACTGCTAGGGGCGTAAGGGCCCAAACCACCAAAAAAGGACAGAGGGTTGTAGATTAGATGTAGAGGGCCCTCTCTGCTCTAGAAAGTACTGTCCTGACTGTTTAGTCCACCAATAGATGATGATCTGTATTGGCATTTCATTTTCATTTTCAATTTTCCGTTCATTGAAAAAAAAATCTTTGGTTTTGCTTTTTGGCTTTATTAAACTATGTGACTTCATTTCAATCAATTTCATTGCCTTTTTGTTTACAATGTCACACACTTTAAGTTGGAAAAAATGCTCACAAGTTTTACGGATGAAAAATAAACTTGATGCATAAACTTTGGTGAAGACTAAATTAAACTACAACAATGAACTATGTCCAGGGCCTCATTTGAGATAATCTGATGAGTTGGCCCCAGCTTCTTTCATCTGTTGCACAGCAGAGCATGAGAAATAATTTTTTAAGAAACCAGAATTAATCCCTCCTTCCATGGCAGATAAAGTTTGCTTTTCAATTTGCTGCCTGGTAAGCAAAACCACATCCTTAGAGTGCCTACTCTTAAATTAAGTTTACTTTATTGTCATTGCATCTCGTACAATGAAATTAAATGCCATCTTCAGTGTACATTATAACTATAAAAATAAAACACAAACACACATCCTTCACATTCTATACAATTGAATTGAAACCTGATATTGCATTAGTATTGCACTACTATACAGTAGAATTCAATATAGTTACTGCCCTGGGATAGAAGCTGTTTTTCAGCCTATTTGTCCTTGTTTTTATTATCCGGTACCATCTACCAGATGGTAAAAGTTCAATAAAAGGGTGCCCAGGATGAGATGGATCTTTAAGAATGTTTTGAACTTTCTTAAGGCAGCGGGAGCTATAAAGTTCTTCCAAAGAGGGGAAAGGGCAACCAATTAATAGCAATATCAATAGCATGTAGACTTATATACTGCTTCACAGTGGTTTGCAGCCCTCTCTAAGCTGTTAACAGAGACAGAATATTGCCCCCAACAAACTGGGTCCTCATTTTACCCATCTCGGAAGGATGGAAGGCTGAGTCAACCGTGAGCCAGTGAGATTTGAACTGCCGAACTACAGCTAGCAATCAGGTGAAGTAGCCTGCAGTACTACATTCTAACCACTGTGCTACCATGGCTCTTTTTAAGTCTATTGTTTATTCACTTACATTTTCCTTAAGAGCAACATGCAATAGAGATAATGGGGGTGGGGGGGTGGGGGGGGGAAGAAAGAACAAAATCATGAAAGAAAAGGAAAAAAACCCCAATGCATTTACCTGGTCTGGTATGTTATATGGGGCTTCTAATTTCTCTTGGTGCTTTGCAGTCACGCAAGGGTTGCTAGAACTGATGAGCACAGGAGAGCTGATATCCAAAGTCTGCCTTCCTGTAGGTGAATGGACCATCCTGTTGAGGGTGTTGAGGGCAGTTGTAATAGAGAACTGTCTCATAGTCTTCCTTCTAGATTCAGATCCTTTGCAGAAAGTGGGCGACTCTACACCTTTTGATCTAGGTAAGAACCTTTGTAAAGGAGAAGGACATTTCAGGGGAGAAGACTGGTAACTTTTGCTCCTCTGAAGAAGTTGCTGCGCTGTTGTATTTGGCTGGAAAAGAAACAGGAGGGAGAAAAGAGATGTGACTTTGTTGATAGCAAGATTTTAAGTTGCAGAAGTGAAACTCCAGGAACGGCTTGAATAGATATCTCTGGCAACATGCTAACTTGTGTGTGGAATTGCATTACTTACTGGGTCTACAAATGGCGCCAAGTCAATGCTTATTTAACAATCTTATTGATGTTTTACCAAATTTGCAAAGCCATTCAACTCTCTAGTGACGCTGAGTGGCATACAATAGTTTAAAAAACTGAATTAACAGTAATAATAAAAGGAGGATAGTGAAACACTCAGGAAGAATAAAACTAACACCCTCTTAATGAATAGCATTCTCAGAAAGTGCCACCATACAATTTAACTCAGAGTGTTTGAGGGCTAGTTTGAATGAGGCCAAGGGATGGGGGGGGAGACATACAAATCTGGGGTGTGTCTGTTGATGTTTCATTGAACAGGAGAACAGAGAAAGATCACATTCTAAGGTCCATCAGGTGGCAGAGTTTAATCTATGGGACCTGAAACATATCAATTCTGTTGAAATGAACAGGATGGGCAAAAATGCAGGAGACAGACAGATGGTTTCTTGATAATGAGCTCTTATGACCTGAAGGTGACACCCAGCACCTTGAAATGTACCTGTAAGCTTACAGGTGACCACTGTAGTCATACAACAGAAATGTGCACATGAATGTACCATCACGTGCTTATGGTGGACCACCTGCAGCTTCTGAATGGCTTTCAAAGATAGCCCGACACTGTATGGAAGGCTTCCCAGTCCAGAAACAGGCAATTGTGGAAAAGATAAATCAGTATGAAGGCCTTCCTGGCTACTATTACCTATGCTTCAGCAGCAGCTGTAAATTCAGGAAAACTCCCAAATGGTGCATTAACTTTGAATGGAGAAGTGGAAGCCCTTTCGGAATTAAAGATAGCAAAGTTCTGTGTAATCCTAAAATCCACAGCCACTCAATTTTATTAGTGGTGAGCTTCAGTCTGTCTACAAACACACACTTACAGACACATACATATTCCCTGTTGAGTCCACTATTACCAGCCTTAGATCCTTTAGTAACCTTGGCTATACACAGAATAAGAGCTGAGGTGGTGCAGTGGTTAGAGTGCAGTACTGCAGGCTACTTCAGATGACTGATAGCTGCAGTTCAGCAGTTCAAATCTCACTGGCTCAAGGTTGACTCAGCCTTCTATCCTTCCGAGGTGAGTAAAATGAGGACCCAGACTGTTGGGGGCAATACGCTGACTCTGTAAAACCACTTAGAGAGGGCTGTAAAAGCACAATGAAGCAGTATATAAGTCTAAGTGCTATTGCTTTTGCTATACTCTAAACCAGGGGTGTCAAACTGGTGGCCCACAGGCCGGATACGTCACATGCAGGCAACACCAGTGTGGGTTACTAGTTCAGGCGAACCAGTAATAGCGGTGATGGGAAGTGCATGTGCAGCGGTGGCGGTGGTGGGAGGCACATCTGTGCATGTGCAGAAGTGGTGCGCCTGAGCGAAGTGAGAGCATGTACGCACTCGAACAGGTAGGAAAGGTAAGTGAAACCCACCCCTGGGCCACACCCACCCCAGCTCCACAAAGGAGAAAAATGTTGCGATGTCAGGTGATCGCAATGTGACTCTGCAAGTTTGACACTCATGCCCTAAACTTTTAAAGGCAAGATTATTTTGTCCCACTCACTACTTCCAATTCCTGACTAGAGAGGCTTCTGATTGCTCTTAATTTCCTGTTGTCTGACAATTGATGGGTATGTTAGCTTGCTTTAAACAAGCATCTGATGGATTCCAAGGAGAGCTTTTTCTCTTCTCAAGACTGAAAGTGCAAGCCATGATCAAATGTGCTGACCAGGAACATGGTGCAGTGTGGGTGTATATTCATAGAACGTTCAATAAATTGTTCTTACCTCCACAAACAAGATGGGAAAAATTCCTGTTCTGTCACCCAACTTTCCTTCTGCCCAATTCTCATCCATTCGACTGATCATAGTGATTACATCACCCTGAAAGATAATAGTCATAGACACTAACCAGGGTAGTTGTTTATGCTTGATAGCATTCTAACATATATGCATAAAGTGAAAGAATATTTGAGCATTTCAGCACATCTTATGCCTCAATATTTTACATTAACAAGACAGATTTGGGGGTGGGGAGGTGAAGGTTCGTTGTGGGTTGATTTCCAAACATTTTGTTATCTGGTTAGGTAACATCTTCAGTAGAGTTTAGGGGATGTCACTGTCAGTGTTCTTCTGTTTATAAGGGCTTCAGGTGTGGCTATGTCAAGTAAGGGTCTTGTAATGGGTTAGGTGTGAGTCATCAGTGGGAGACTTGGGATGGGTCTTGTGCTGTCTCTGGTTGGCTATGCAGTTGATTTGGATTTTGAAGGGTTTATAGATAGATTTAGCTGTCAACTGAATGAATGGAAAATGAATACAAGGAAAGATGGTGATGCAGAAGCTACTTGGATGTGAGTAAAAAGTTTGTGGGATAGAGTGCTGTAGAAGTATGTGGAGTTATTCTATGGGAAACAGAACAAAGGTTGCATGGTGATATGAAGTAAAAGAAAATGATTAATATGATTAACAAAAAATGAGAATGAAGGAAAGATATCACACGCACACATACTCAAAGACAGACACAGAGAGAGATTTTAATCAGAGAAAAAAAGGAATAGTTAAGATTCAAAGATACAGAGAAAATGCACAATGATTATGAGGAAAATTAAAACAAATATTTTTGAAATGCGTGAGGAAGTCTAAACCAAGATGTTTATCAGAAGGTAAGGAAAAAGTGATAAAATGATTTGTGATGAAGCTGAAGTGAGTTGAATAGTACTGAAAGGACTATTGTAGAGATTTGTATGGGATCAATTTATATATTGAAAGGGTAGAACTGAAATAAATGAAATCCATATTAATATTTCAGACAAAAATGTTGGAAAGGATGTCATACAGGTAGTCTTCCACATATGACCACAATTGAGCCCAAAATTTGTGTAGCTAAGCAAGACATTTGTTAAGTGAGTTTTGCCTCATTTTACAACCTTTCTTGCCACAGTTGTTAAGCGAATCACTGCAATTGTTAAGTTAGTAATATGGGTTGTTAAATGAATCTGGCTTCCCCATTGACTTTGCTTGTTAGGTGGTTGCATAGGTGACCATAAGATCTGGTGACAGTGCAACTGTCCTAAATATGAGTCAGTTGTTGAGCATCTGAATTTTGATGACATGAACATGGGAATGCTGCAACAGTCGTAAATGTGAAAAACGGACATAAATCATAATGTAGTGCCATTTTTTTCAGTGGCGTTGTAACTTCGTACGGTCACTAAATGAACTGTTGTAAGTCAAGGACTACCTGTATTGTGAGAAGTGAAAAAAAATTGTAAGGCTGCAGGTAGAAATAGTGTAACTGGAATATGCTAAAATACAGATATTATGCTTGTGGAATAGATGTGTGATTTGTTAAATGTGCATGTGAAGACTGTATCTTCTGAAAATTGATAGTATGGCAACATTTTTTACTAATAAACCTTGGCAGTGGCAGGGCAAACCACTTTTCCTCGCCTACCAATCTGTCCTCAGCCTGAAGAGGTGGTAATACATTTCCTTCTTTTGTTCAAATGACAAGAGCTTTACATGAAAACCCCAAATCCCAGCATTCTAATAGAGGTGTAGAAAAGCAGATGAGCTTTGTCTCCAGCAACGTTTTTAAAAAAGGAAAAGACCCTGAACCAGATGGCATGCAATCCAGACAATGTTTGCAGTGAGCAAAATAAATTGCCTCTCTCTGTGATTCCTCATTGTGCATGCAGTGATGTAGAAAGACTCTTTTTTAAAAGTGTTCATATTGAGGAAACGAGCAGCAGTGAAAGCTGGTACTCACAGCTGGCTCTTTCAGGTCTCAGGCAATGATCACAACTGGCTGTTTAGAACCATGTTCCTGTAGTTCTCTCACAAGCCAGCTCCACTGTAATCTCAATGTAGTAATACAGGAACATGCTTAAATGTAGCCTGGTCTCATTATTCACTTTGCCCACCTCCCCATCTGAAATAGAAATCTTGCTCCTCCTTTGGGCACATTGTTATTCTACCTTGCAATGTGCATCTTTTGTCGGCTCCCTGATGCTATAAGGGAGTCATGCTTAGGTGGCTATATTATTTTATGCTTATTATGAGCAATGGAACAACAGAGATATTCACAGGATAAATATAGTGTGCTTTAGGGGGATGGAATTGAGGATTCTATGATGCCTAGGTATTCTGTTTTTTTCACTGGCAATTTATAGCATCTTCTAGCATAACCCAACCATGACTTTGGCAATAAAAAGCCTGCCTCCGTTACTGTTCTATCAGCACAGAGATAGTTGGATGGTACTACAAGATGCTAGAAATCACTAGCATCTGTTTTCTGATGTACGCTGTAAACCATTTTCCTTCAAAGTTTCATTCGACACATTGCTTGCAAGTCTCTTATGTTCACTATGCTGAAACCTATACCATTACTGTATATTATCAACATGAAATCTACCCAGGCTATGATATTACAAAGCTAAAGATCAAGCTAAATCTAATGTGGTAAATATAAATTGCTGGCAAGGAGCAGTTGGCTACAGTTATGGTTATATTTAATTATTTAGATTGGAAGGGAATGGCATTTTGATATACAGAGAGGCAGTCATGTCATTCATTTGCATCACAGAGTTGGCCAGTGGGCTGCTGCAGGATGACAATCAGCATTTCTGCACCAGCAATTTATAGTGTCATCCAACCATTGCTGTGGCAATATATCACAGCTGCAGACAGGTTTCATCTCACTACAGCAATAGTTTGGGTGGCACAATAAATCATCAATGTGAAAAGTTCCTGTCTCTGCAAACTGGTTTGCCAAATGTAGTAGAATCTGTTTACCAATCTCTGTAAGAAATATAGAAGGAAAAAACTGGAGTGGGAATTAACAAAGAGTAGCTTAAGAAAACTATTACAAGAATGAAGAGATGAATATAACACATTGGGGACATGATGATGATGATAGTTATGCGAAGAGAAGTAATCTTAAGATTTGAGAGCTTTCAGGAAGGAAATTCACTTGGGTCCCTTCTTAGCACATTTAATGAGAGAAAACAATAGCAAAATATGCTATATATTCCTCATATATCTTGTGTCCCTACAGAAACATGGAAATAGCACCCTGTTCCTACTGCCTACTGATGTCTGATCGAAGAAGAAAGATCCCAGGTAGCAGGAATGGATAGAGCTGTGACACACAAAGGTGGTAGGTCTATTGAAGAGATTTGTTTGATGGTTCACCCCTGTGGAGGAAAATACTCAACTGACAGAATTGTTTTATTTTATTGTCTCCTACTTTGGGTTTACTTGAAATGAAAAGTGGACTTTGCTTCAAAATAAATAAATACTTAGAGACATGGTTACCAAAAATGTAGCTCACCATTACTGTATACCAGGGGTGTCAACTTGATTTCATTGAGGGCCACACCAGGGTTGTGTTTGATCTCGGGGGTGTGGGGGTGTGTGGTCAGCTCGACGTCACTTGTGTCATGGGCAAGTGTTTTGCCAGCAAAAATGGGCTCCCAATCTCCATTTTTGGCTAGGACGGCCTCCCGAGCTCCATTTTCACTGGCAGAGGCTAGCAGGAGGCCGTCCCAGCCAAAAACAGAGATTGGGAGCCCGTTTTCACTGGCAGAGGTACTGCGGGCCAGTCCTTCACTGTTTCCAGAGTGGCCTTGTGGGCCAGATCTAAGCATCCGCGGGTCGAATCTGGCCTGTGGGCCTTGAGTTTGACACCTCTGCTGTACACCTTAAAATCTAAGAAAGGATTGAGGAAGTAGGTATGTCCCCTATACTGATTCATTTCAATGTTTTTCCATATCATCAAATACATGTCATAAGTATAACTGGACATTCTTAAATTAGTTTTTCAGGTTTGCTGGCTGGGTGCTGGACTTACCTTATGAAAAGACAGGCAATCTGGTTTTTCATTTTTATTCTTGGACTTCAGATTAAAATTATATAGTGCTCGACACAGTGGTGGCGGCTGCGGCAACTGTTTGATAATTTGCACAGCGTTTGTAGGAAAAACTCCGCTGACCCTATTGATTTCTCCTAGGTACCAGTTTTCATCCAGCTGACGGTACAATGTAATGATGTCTCCTTTGTTGAATCTCAGTTCTCCAGGATTTTGTCCTCTGTAGCTATATAAGGCTTTAGCCCGGGGAACCTTCATACAAAAGAAAATGAGAAATGAGTCAGTTTATAAGAAAGTGCTCTAATGGTAACAGGGTAACGTATTTCCAAACAGGACTGAAGCTTTAATTTCACTCAGTAGAAAAGTTTAATACCTGTTTCTCTTTCTCGCCACTGTGATCGTTGGAAGTTAAAATGTCTAAACTGAATTGTGCCATAACATTTTTCTGGGTTCAATATTTTATTTCTCCGTCTCCAAGAATTTAAATAATAACAAAGTAAAGAGGAATGGGAGGGAGAAAAGGCATAGAGGTCAGTACAATACTAAAACATCTTCTAGTGGGTAGGAATTACTGGGAAGGACAGGAAATTTTAATTTTGGTGCTGCAAGCTCTGCACTTTTAGTTGAAGGCTATGACTGTTCTTGTTGATTCACAGCCTTTGCATACTAATTTGCACACACCAAGGGCCAAATAAAAGCCACCAGCTTTCCTGTTTATTATGTAGAACTTGAGTATTCTTTCTGATGCTTTCTAGTGCACACAGAGCTTCCTTCCATGGAAGTGAAATTATTGTGAAGGGAAGGCATATCCTACTGAACTGAAGGCTTCTTGATTGCAAAGGATGATTAGGTAGAGCACCAAAGCTAATTGTTTCAATTCAAATCAAGAATTCAATTTTTTGTAGCAGCACTAAAAGGAGATTTGGCAGTAACAAAGTCTGCCAGATAAGACAGATCAAAACAAATCAGACTTTCTTTTTTTGGAAACACCTGCTAGTTACAATACAACAACTTCTAAAGTAAACCTCTCTGGAGAAGGAGAGTGCCTGCAATCAGCATGCAAGCTTGGCTGTCCTTTCCTCCTGAAACTCACTTGTCTTCATTTGCGGATGCTGTTTCCAAGAAATTCTGTAAGAATACAGTAACTAAAATCTGCTGCCTAGACTTCAGACATGGGGTGAAGTGTGAGATGTAGTTGCTAATGCCTATTCCCAGTTTTAAAAGGGCTAAGTTTGTTCAGTTGGGTTACTGAAATTTCATTCTTCTCAGATGCATCTGCTGATACAAGAAGACCTTCCCAAGGCTGTTTAATTCTGAGCATCAGCTGAAAAAGCCATGGGCATTCTGGCTAACTTGTTTTCTAGAGGTTCTCTATGAGCATTTGCAGAAAGAGAATGCTGGCCACTAAGTACCAGAGGGACAGCGCTTCAGTCTTGTCAGGTCTACCTTCTTTTTACTAGAAGCTGGTCAAAAAATAACGACATGGGCAGGGTGGTTAATATCAGCTGCACCACATAAGCCTTACAATGGGATGGCCTGCAGAAGCAAGTTGAAAATATACAATTCAGAAAACCCCTTAAGGGCAAACGAAGTGGAAAACAACACAGTATCTTTTGATTGGTGGTTGTAAGAAGTGTCTACCTGGACACAACCAGAGGAAAGGGCTAACACAGAAAAAAACCCAGTCTCTAAAAGAAGTTGCACATGTCAGATTGGCTGGAACTTCAACTCCTAGAAACACAATATAGCCAAAGGTGAAATTCTGGCTGAAAATTTTGGCAGCTGTTGTTATCATAGTGACAGAACACTCAGTTGTTGAGAGCTGTGCCAGGCCGAACTCTGACATCCTGCCCCAACAGAATGCCTCTTAGTACAAACCATAGTTTCTTAGTATACACATATCTTACAACAGTATTTTGCAGCAGGTTAAAACAACTCTTTTCTTTATGAGTCAAATAAATTGCAGAACCAGCAGACAATCACAATGCTAATTTATCCTGTGGTCCAAATAGGTTTGCCACCTTTCTCCACCCATAGATTTCATCTCCATATTAATATTCTAGGCACATGCTAAACCTTTAAAAGGCATTTTGTGCCCAGGAGCAGCCTAGACTGAATATATAGCCAGTTCTACTACACATGCCAAACTTCTCACCTCCCATGTTTCAGAGACCAGATTGTTATTCATGCCAAAGACAGCAGATGTGAATGTTTTGTGCTTTTTATAGCTTAAAAAACTTATATTTAGAAGGACCTCAGCTTAACCTGAACCTTTCTTAAAATTGGGAAATTGAAAGAAGAAAACCTGTGTTTAGCCCATTCTAGCTGGTAAGGCTTTTTAAAAAATATATATAGCCCCAACATATTTGAACCAGTTTTAAAATGTGGTTTATTCTCTCCACTGCCAGTCATCAGCATGGTTAAAAATCACACTTCTAACACAAGCAAAACGACGTTTGGAAACAAAGAGACACATTTTGGAGAAAGGGGATGCCCATAAGGAGAAACAAAACATTTATTCTAATTCTCATTGTTGCATCATTTCCACATACGATGATGAATGCAGGAACACTCCATTTCCCAAGAGCAAATATCTTTTGTTTGGATGTAGTATACACATACTTTGGTTTCATTTGGCAATATCTTATTGGGATTATTGAACATGAATATTTTGAGAAATTCTTACTCAGCAGCTGTCCTATGGCATTCAGAGAGTGCAGTTTGATGGGCATTGAGGTTTACTGCTGAAACTGAAGATGAATCAAATGTGTTTTTTAAAGCATTCATACAATTCTTCCCTTAAATATTCTCTGAGAGCCAATTTGGTCTAGTGGTTAAGGTACCAGGTGAGAAAGCAGGAGATCATGAGTTCCATTCCTGCCTTAGCCATGAAAGCTGGCTGCGTGATCTGCAGTGAGTACTTCAGAGTTTGCTTGTCCACACACATACTTGGCTGTTATTTACAAGAATGTATACCTAGAGACATACACAAATGGTCTCTCTTTCCCTACACTTACATAATCAACGACATCAGCCAATGCAGTGGTGGGATTCAATTTTTTTAACAACAGGTTCTGTGGGCGTGGCTTAGTTGGGGTGTGTGGGTGTGGCTTGGCAATCATGTGACTGTGTAGGCGTGGCTAGCTGGTCATGTGACTGTGTAGGCATGGCTAGCTGGTCATGTGACTGGCTGGGCGTGGCTATGTGCATAGGGACTACTCAGAGGGCTGAAAAAAGTCATTTCTGACTGGTCCTCGCACTTTTGACCAGTCCTCACACTTATGACCATCCTCACATTTATGCCCGTGCAGCATTCTTAACAACCGTGTCAGTCATTTCACCACTACTTCTCTTCACCACGATGACAAGATAGGGCGCAAAACGTAAAATGTGAGGACAGTCGTAAGTTCAAGGACTGGTCAAAAGTGCAAGGACCGGTCAAAAATAACCTTTTCAGCCCTCTGAGTAGTCCATTTACTACCGGTTCTGTGGGTAATGTGACTGGGTGGGCATGGCCAATTTTTTTTTTAACTTTTACTTTTAAAAGCATTTTTTCTACAACCTTAAGAGGTTGCAGAAAACAATGCTTTTAGAAGCTTCTGACGGTCACACAAATCTGCTGGGATCGCCAGAAGCTTTTAAGGCGATTTTTTTCCCTACAATCTCTTTAAAAAATCCCTTTAAAAACCTCTGACAATCTAAGCTGAGTTGCCTGATCCTCAGAAGCTTCTAAGAGCATTTTTTTTCTGCAACCTCTTCAAGCTTCTGCCTTTTCAAGGCAAAAAAGGGCGAGGGGCGGGGGGAACACACATGTGTGGCAGTGAGATATTCCACAGCTCAAACCTCCCCCCACCAGAAACCTTGGAAGGTTTCCTGTCTCTAAACAAACAACTCCTGAAAATTGAGTGGCAGGAGAGGTCATGGATTGAGTAAAATGTGGTGAAACTCACTTAACAACGCTCTTGTTTAGCAATGAAAATTTTGTGCTCAATTGTGGTCATAAGTCAAGGACTATCTCTGCCTTCCTCCGCATGGCAGCCTTGTCCTAGTAAACTCCTTTTCCTTTCTGGCAATTTTCCTCTCTGTTGGAGGCATCAAAACAATCTAGACGATATAAGGTTTCCTGCTGGAGCAGGGGGTTGGACTAGATGGCCTCCAAGGTCCCTTCCAGCCCTAGATTGCTATCCTGTTTCAAAGCATCTTCTGAAACCATGTCTAGTGCCATGGTTTGTGGTCCTTCCTTCCTGCCTTTCTCTTCTTTCTTTCTCTTTCTTTCTTTCTCTCTCTCTCTCTCCCTTCCTTCCTTTCTTCCCTCCCTCCCTCCTTCCTTCCTTTCTTCTTTTTCTTTCTTTTTCTCTCTCTCTCTTCCTCCCTCCTTTCCTTTCCTCCTTAAATGCCAGCAAAACCCATTACTTTGCTCCTAAAATGGTCTAGGGCAGAGGTCCCAATCTTGGCAACTTTTAGACTTGTGGACTTCAACTCCCAGAAATCCTCAGCCAGCAAAGAGTTGAAGTCCACAAATCTTAAAGTTGCCAAGGTTGGAGACCCCTGCCCTAGGAAAACAACCCACATTGCATCTGTCTCAGGAATTCTGGAAGTTGAAGTCCACAGGTTGTAAAAGAGCCACAATTGCCTACCCCTGGCTAGGGTAGGCTGGCGCCGCGCGGGTGGGAGGCGGGGCGGGGCGAGGGGCGGGTGAGCCAGCAATTTAACAAATGGTTCGGTGTGCTGCGGGGCCAATAAATTACAAAAAAACACCGAACCGTTTGTTAAATTGCTGGCTCGCTCGCCCCATTTATTGGAATAAATAGTAGTGCGGAGGGGCGGGGCAAGGGGCGGGGCGAGCCAGCAATTTAACAAAGGGTTCGGCCGAACCCCTAGAACCGGCAGAATCCCACCACTGAGCCAATGTATGTAAGTTTACCAGGTAACTCAACAGGCAGCGGAACCCACAGACAATTGGGAAGAAATACAAACGGGAGGGGGAGGAGGACACACTAACTGAATAACTTTCTTGGCATACGTGACATAAATTACAATGAAAAACTACGAAAAAAAAAAAGGTATTTAGGCCTATATGTATATGACTTTATGTTTTCCATCATCAGAAAGATGATCTTTCAACTGCAGTATTTTTCCAACAATAGCCATAGCACTTAGACTTATATACTGCTTTACAATGCTTTACAGCCCTCTCTAAGCAGTTTACAGAGTCAGCATATTGCTCCCAACAATTTGGGTCCTCATTTTAC